CTCGCGCCCGTGCTCTGCGGTTCGGGGGGGGGGGGGGGGGGGGAATGGCGGCGCACCCCCTGCCGGGGAGAAAAGCCGGCGGGGATGTCGCTTGCTGACCGGCCTTTTTCAACGCTGCCGCCTCGAAGCGCGGGGTCTTGCGGGCTGCGGCTGTGGGTCGCTCCTTGAGGGGCAGGCCTCGCCCTGAGAGTTACAGCGTGGGCAGCAGGTGGCCCTCGGGCTTCTTATTCAGTAGCCGTATTTCCAATGTGTGTCTATATATGGAAACGAGGAGCGTGACTGTCCCCGTCCAGGTGTTGCGTACAAGGTAGCAATTTCTCGACTTGTATGCTTTGTATGTACAGGGCGATAACCCATTCCATATGATCTAGTTTAGCTTTTAACCTTGTAATAATACCTTTTCCAACTAGTGTGTGGACGGTGTTCACGTTTAAATAGTAGAGCTGCCAGTGATGGTTTGTAGTCCTTGCTGCACTTACTGTCATATTTGTCTCTTGCAATAAGGAACTGAAAAGCCCAAACTAATTCTCAGCAGGGCCTTGAGTGATGTCATAGCTGGTAGAAATGGTAGTGTATGAGCAGGAATAATTCCCAGCCGGGACCTTCTTTTGGCTGAGCCAATGACTTGGTATCTGTGTTCCCTTTGGATTTGGTGTTCTACTTTTAGTCTTGCGTATCCATCAAACAAATATCCCGCTTTTCAGTTGCCCAGGGCCCAGTTTCTGTATTGCTTCTCCTGTTCTGCTTTTTTGGTCCATCAGTCAGCACATCTGTCATTTCAGCTTTAGTTTTCCCTATCTTAATTTGGAGAATTTTTGCTCTAGCTGCAGCTCATCCTTCCACTCCAGATCTCGTTGACTTGAAGATCTTTGATGTGAAAAAAGATTTGGTGTCTCAAAGTTGATACATTCATTTTGGATGATGGTCGTTCTGCCATTATTTGGGTTCTCATCGTCTGCCCGATATTGGACTGTTCTAGCATCTACTGTCATCCTATGCTGGAAACTTCCTTAACAGTCCTGAGTATATCTTCTGTTTGTCAGAAGAGGGCATTCTGTATTCTGTATCTTTTGATCTTATAGGTTACCTTTATTTGCACAACTTATATTCTCTTATTTCTCTTGCACTGAGCATACTAAAATTCACGCCCTGCATTCAGTTCAAACGTTTTCTTTTTTATCTGTGTCTCCTTGAAAACATTGTTTTCTCACTACCGTTAGAATACTTTTCTGCTGCTAATGGACAGCAGCTTTGACCCAGTCATATCCTGAGATGGGTGCCAGTCTGTTGTGTCTGTCCGTTTGTAACTGGCAAGCAATGGGCTGGAGTATGTCCCAGTGACCAGGAAGGGCGTTAGATAGATATGGGATTTGAAGACCGGAGGCCTTCTGTCCTGAGAACTAGCCCTGGTTTCAGATGAAATCAAGGAAATGTAAAAATGTTTGAAACGGGCATGAATGCCTTGGGTTACCTGAAGTCTGCGTTTTCCTGATCCTTGCAGAGATAGGTATGTAATGACAGTGCATCTCATGCTCTGAAAAGGTGTGCGCAGTGCAAGTCTAACTCTGGCTCAGCCAAGTTTTTGAACTGTGGTAGTTTTTGAACTATAGAGACATGGTTGTTGCTATGAATGCTTTTATATTGTCCTAGTGAAGAAAATTAATTTGGGTTGAAAGCCGTACACTGA